TGCCACTTTACATTAGTGAAGTTAGCATAAGATACTAAAAAAAATCAAGTCATGCTTCTATGTATTCTTTTGCATATCACTTTTTCACTAACTTTTGCGTATCACTTTTTGCTAACCTTTGCGTATCACTTTTTTGCTAACCTTTGCATATTACTTTTTTGATATCCACCTAATGGTACGTAAAAGCTCAATTTTTTTCTTACCTTTATATATCATCTTTTTTGATACATAAAAGTTTGATTTTTCTTACCTTTGCATATCACTTTTTCGATATCTGTTTAATGGTATTATGCATCTTGGTATGAACCAGCTTCTAGCTAACACTAGCTTTGGGTAATGACTACTCTTTGTGACCCAAAAACCTGCTTTAATAAATGTCTGGTCATCTAAATCCTATCATCCAAAATCGCACGACACAAAAACTCTTTATATGATCTAGATATTGAAAGCATTAATTTTTTATTTGAATTTTTTCTCATACTTATTGTAAGAGAAAACAAAAAAACCCCTACCTGAGATAAATAACTGGTTAAATATAGCAATCTCTCTGCTTCAGAAATTACTACTAAAACTAGATGATATTATCTTAAAACAATAGTTACACATATTTAATGAGTGCCAAAGATTTATTTTTCAATTCTTTTTTGTACGAAGTAGTAGGTACACCTATCTTAGTCTCAAAATTTCGCTTATATTTTAAGAAGTCAGCCTCGCTCATACTCTCATGCTCTTTTTTCCAGTAATTTTGATTATACCGCAATTCAAAAGTAATCTTGGTTCACCATTGTTCTAACTCTTTTTCAGGCATTTGGAATTTTTGCTATAAAAGAAAGATAAGGGTGTCTATATCCAATTCATTTTTAATAAGAAATTCTGAAGATAGAGAAGTTAAGGATTTGGGTATTTTTTTCTCAACTGTCCTGGCTTTACTAATAGTAGTATCAATATGGCATCTATCTTGGGAAAGACCAGAAGATTGATTAAGAGCTGGCATTTCTAAAGATAAACCTTTTTCATTAATCATCCTACTAGACAAGTCAGAAATTTTATGCTCAACATATTCAAAAAGATCCTGAATCTCATTACTTACCTTCGGCTTATATGATGGAAGAACTGGAGCTATAGGGCAATATTCAGAATTATCTAACTTTTTAGCTATTACTTCTTCTTGATTATTAAAACCATGACCATTATATGACTTTTGATTAATTTGATATGAATATTTCCAAATCCATTGTCCTTTAGATCCTACCAATTTTCGCTCACTTTTTATGGTATAACTATACCAATTACTAACAATTGCGTTGATTGCCTTTATAGCTGATTTAAGATCTGGTATTTCTTTTGCATGAGACCTAAAGCCAAAGAGCAATAAGGCTTGACTTAGAATTTCTATAAATTTTTCATGAGATGCCTCAAACGTAACTTTTACCTGATCATCAGAGAGAATGCATTTATCATCTATACCCGTAAAACCAAGCAACTGTAAAAGCCCTTGTACAGCTTCTCAATGATTCACTGAATATGTTTTGCATAAATCTTTTGCTACTGAATCCTCAAAATTATCTTTAGCATTATAACAGGTATCTTTCCATTGTGCGATGTCTTTGGTCTTTAATTCTTCTATTGCACTCTCTTCATCATAACCTTGCTTGTAAAAATGAGATAGACACAAGAAATGTTTTCTAGGTTCGAGTGGACTAAAACGTTCTACAAAATCTTTATCACAGAGTTTATTCCAATTCTCGATGCTTATACCATTTCCACCATAAAGGTTCTACATATAAAAATGCTTAAGTGCCATAGTATCTGCAACTGAACGTTCTGAATCGAGTTTAAGAAATTCGGCTTCCTCAAGAGTAAGATTTTGAGAAGTAGTGACTGCATCAAAATCTGTATCTGTAATAACTAAAGCTTCAGCCTTAATCTCATTACGAACTTTTTTACGATTCTCTATAATTTCTTTATTTTCGTCCATTTTTATTAATTTAAGACTTGCTCCAGTACTGGCAATAAGGCTACATGAAATCTCGATAAAATTTCTGATTAAAAGACGTTTCTGGTGCTCAACTTCAATAAATGATGTTACAGCAGGAGATTGATCAAGTTTATAGGAAATGCTATCTATATTTCATTCACGATGTCCCTTAATTGCTATAGGCAAATTATTAGGCCGGGCAACTGCAAGTTCTGCCCGAATATTTTCACGACCTGGTGAACGAGAAAATTCACTAGAAATTTTTTGATAATAAAGTGAAAGTATATGCTTTTCACAATCATGAATTCGGAACATCATCTGGATAAATGCTTCTACATTAACTGGAGTTCCAATATTTGTAATGCCTATAACTATGTCAAAGTGATTAGGTTTCTCGAAAGAAATACCTGCTTCTACTGTGTTTGTATAAGCCACACAATCGAGTTCGCCCCAAGCAGTATTAATATCTAAAAAGTCTTTTTTTCATTGTTTTCTATCCATGTCTCCATAATAGACATAAGCTTTGAAAGATAATTTAAAAGCTTTTTTTACTAATGCTTAAGTCATATTAGAACTTGTTACAACAAATGTCATACATTTACTATGCTTCAAATACTCAAACCCTATTCGCATAGCTTCAGCCCCACTATTTGAGTCATAAAGATACTCAACAGTCTTACCTATAAGCGGTTGGAATTTATTATCAATTACTCGAATATTTCTACCATGATAAGCCTTGAGAAATGTTAGTGTACTTTCATTTGCAAATGCATCCATAGCTAAAACATGTTGGGCCAATTTTAACACATCACACATTGCATTTTCAGATTCCCATGCATTTGAACCACTATTCATTTGACGTTGAATTGCATTGACTTCATCTAAAATAGCTACAATTGGATGGGCTGAGAATTCTATATAAGAGAGACTTTCAACTTGAATTATGATAATATCCCACTTATCTATAGACAAGCTCTGTTTATCTTGATAATTACAGATTCTGAGTCCAGATAATTTAAGATCATTAATTTTACCTATTGATTTATTACTAAGAGTTTTTCAATAAGAATCCAGATGATGCAAGGCATATTAGCTTTATTCTTAGCTAAATAATTGAGATATTTTCTTAGACCTTTTGTTTTTCCTGTCATTATAGGAAAGCAAATCAAAGTTGTACTGGGTTCTTTGCTCAAGAAATTGGGATAAGCTTCTGGAAAATTTTCTATTTCCTTTATATTAATAACTTCTCCAAATAATTCAGAAAGCAAATGAGAATTTGACACAGCTTTGGCTATTCGTTTATCTAATCCTAATTTAGGTTTCACTTTCGATTCTACTTTATCTGATACCTTGTCAAAGCTTAATCCTTTATGATCTGGCTTATATTGTTTTTGGCGATAATATTTAAGTATAAAATGCCCATTTTGTCAAATAAATCCATAGAGTTGATCTTTTTCATGTTTAATGTCACATATAGGGCATTCTTTAATGGATTGTGCTTGAAAGTTGATAAATCCCTTCTTGATTTTTCCAATCTGGAGTCACCCATAATTTGCAATAACTAAATTGGCTCCCTTAACCAAGGCATTATCATCGTTGATAGATTGGTATTCCTCTTCTGCTGGCCTCTCTTCCGAAAAGGTTCGTGGCCAGATTACAGAATAATTTTCTTTAGGCTGAACCAGGTAATCATCTAAATTTTTAAATCCCTTATTTATAGAAGAGATAGCAGGTCTTTTTATGTGTCTCTCTTTTGCCGATCCAAGAAGTCGAAGACTAAAACGTGATTTGGGAAGGCCAACATCAATGAATTTGGCATAAGGTTCTCCAACTAATTCTATAACTTTTTCTATAAAACCCTTGAGTTTTCTATAATCTATAAATTGGGCCCGAGGATAAATGATATGCCAACTACATTTCTCAGTATTTGATGAACTTCTAAAGCAAAAAAATTTAAGAAAGACATATATTCTGGAATAAGGCTTAATGCATCTGCACAAGCAACTAAAATTCGAGATAACAAATCTTCTCAAGTAATTTTTTGACCATCTAGAGAAGAAAGTTTAGAATTAGTAGGATCAGGCTTTTGCCTTGCATCAATATTGATAATTAAGTGGAGGGGCTGGTTCCCATTGATACATTTATGAATATCAGGTATTCTATAAACTTCGCTAGAATGATCGATCATTGTATAACCTTTTCCTGCCATCTGAATTATATATTAAGAATGAATCTTCTCAGGTCAATATGCATCTAAAAGCGCAGTATCATTTTTATCAGTATGGCCATGACCCTTTAGGGTCGCCCCTTCAGGCCTGGATGCAAGCCAGTATTTATAAAATGTATGTTCTTTATGGCCAGGTTTATAATCAAGATCCGTTAAACCCATAAAAAGCCATTTTGCTTCATTATATTCAGCTGACTTTTGATTTAAGCACTGTTGCTGTAATGATTCATAAAGACGTTTTTTTGCTTCACTAGATAAACTCATTTTATTGATTTGTATATATGCATTATTTGTATATGTAATATATAGTTATAAACTAAAAATATTATATTTAACCCAAAAAACTTTAAAATGAAATTAATTATTCTATACAATTATTATTATAATAAATATGAGACACATCATTGCCCTTATATTCTTAGAACTGGCAAAGTTTGCAATCGAGGTTGCTATCGTCCAGAAGGATGTAAACTTTATTGGAATTCGCCAACTTGGATTCCTTGCAAAGAATGCAGTAAATTAACATATTCTACATATGGTATATGCTCGAATCATGTGAGTAAATATCAAAAAAGAGAATATTATTATCAAAAAAAACAGACTGAATTACATGCAAAAATTGTTATGCTTAAGAATCATATACCTGACTTACCTGATTCTATATACGAAGTATAATCATATAGCTTAACATCCTGGTCTTGCTTATACAAGTACATAAACTCTTTTTTCTGGGTATAGGAGGAAAAAACGTAATTAATTTCGAATTAAAAAATAACTAGATTAATATATAACTAGATGACACTTACTATTGACATGGCTACAAAAACAGCTACCCCAAAGACCCGAAAACTTAAAGTTAATAACTTTGTATTAGTCTTAAAGCAGTTCCTAGAAAAGCATAATTTGATGGCTGACTCTACTCCAAAACAATTAAGCGAATATGCTCCCAAACTTGATGCTCTACTTCCCGATTGGATGGCCTGCAGATGTGTTAATTCATTCTTGCCAGAGGCACTGGTAACAGACACTCATTTAGTAAAGAGCAGGTAGAGGCTCTCTTACCAGATAAGAGAAAGAGAAAACTCACTATAAAGGAAATGGCAAAATATTGTACTAAAATTGGTGATGTTATGGATATTTTCACTCATTATTTAGATTTAGGCCCAAAAAATGATTATGAAAATGAAATAGTCGACAGTGGTTCACACCAATCACAATTCTGTGTGAAGTTAGCAGAAGCTGGAGTAAGTTCTAAAATTATTAATACCTATGCCAAAGATCCAAAACTTATTCAAGAGTCAAATAAAATTCAGAAAAAGCAAACTATAAAACGAATGGCTAATCCAGATAGAATTCCCACATATTTCTCCTTAGCAAATGTGAGTAAAAGGATTCAGAACATAAATGTTTTCAAAATTCCTACTAGAGAGGATCTCGTGGATATAATTGTAATGTTGAGTATGAGACCTGCAGAAGTAAGATCACTTCGAATTAATCACTATGAACTGGATCATTCAAACATTCCAGCATAGTACAAAGATGACTATTCTTGGTATTGCACAGGTTATTTAAAAAATAGAGAAGAGAAGAAAAAAAATCCCGAGCACCAACCATTTCTTTCTATGGAGAAGAACCCAGAACATGCCAGAGAATTGCTTACTTGGATTTAAGATGCAATTAAGACTAAAAAGTTATCTGACCCTGTCTTTACTGGAAAAGGAACATGTAATGCTTGGCCATTTAACGAGTTCTTAAAATAAGAACCTTACAGAACCATACCTAAAAAATTAAGAGATTATGGAAGTAAACATGCTTCCAGAATTCATGGTAGTAAGAAACTAACACCCCAACATCTTAAACTGCTTTCGAGAATTGCAATGAGGCAAGAATCAGATCGCCTTGATGCAGGTGATAATTACACTATAGGTGATACAGAATCAGAAGAGTCTGACTTCGAACCAAAGATAAGCAACAGTTCAAAACCTCAAATATAGGCTTTTTCATTATCTCAAACAATAGAAATGGATTCAATTTTAGCTGAAATTGATGCAATGTTAGCTGAAATTCAGAAATAAATACCAGAAGAAGAGTCAGGTAGTGAGCACTTGTTTAGAGAATTTTCGCTGGGCCCTCATGAATGTGTGACTTAAATTGTCCATCGTTTTCCTAATGCTATTCTTGAGATCACAATTGAGAGATATATTTTTATATTAATATTTTTTTAGCCATGTATAGATTATTTTTTTTGTCATTATAGTGTTTCTAAATGAGCCAGCTCAAATAGGCTTATTTGTCATATTCTTAGGCTTGTCACATGCTTGGTATAGCTTATAAGCCTGTGTAACAATTAAAATTTAATTTAATTTTAATTTTAAATATAAAATTTAAAAGTTAAAATAAAAATAAATAAATATATATATATTTTTTAAATTATAATTATTTTTATAAATAATTTATTTTTTTATAAATTTTATTTATTAAATAAGATTATATATATATTTTTTTTTTGGAGTTAAGGTAAGATTTTGCTTATATCTTTATTAATTTGTTAAAGATGCCTCTAGAGGTTTCCCTGGATATAAATTACAAAATCTATTCCAATTACAAATTTGTTATAAAAGTAAAGCTCAGACTATAGAGAGAAACTAACTGTTATCTATTTAATTTATCTGCAACCTAAACCTACTAGAGTGGTTAAAACTCATCTAAATTTGATAATTTAAAATGTTATTTGTAGGATAATTGTAAAGTATCCAATGGTCAAGTTATAAATTAATTTTATTTAGAGTATGACCAAGTGGTGGGCAAGTATTTGGATCAATATGTTTTAAGCTTGATAGTTTACATAGATTGCAAGTTTTATTATATAATTGATGCCTATTAATATGATATATATCATTGTAATTAATTTGTGTAGGTCTTCTTTGTTGATTTTTAGTATATTGCAGAATATTGTTATTCTTTTTCCATTGTGTCAGTTTTATACAATATGGTTTCTATATTTGTTCATAAATTTTTTGAGACAGCTTATATAGGAGTTTTGTAGTGATATTTTTTGCTTCTGTTTGTAATTGAGTAAATAGTCTAATTGATAAAATAAGACTAGTAGGCACATATCCTTGTAATGTTATATAAATGTTAATTTATTGTAAAATTATAATACTAAAAGAAAGACTATTGTGTTATAAAAGTATTTTTTGTAGTTTATTAATTTGAGTACTAGTAATATTTGTAATATAGGTAATTGTTTCTGTTATTGTTTCTTGAATAAGATTAGTAAAGAGTATAGAGTTTAAACAAAGAATCCAATATAGTGAATGTTCTGGTATATAATATATAATATAGTTATTGCTAGTTATTGTTTCTGGATATAAGTTGTAAAAATGGAAAAGAGTAGATAGTATGTTAAGTTGTAGTTTAATTTTAAAGGATTTACTATTGCTAAGTGTAAAGTTTGTATATAAACTAGTTTTGTCAATATTATTATTTAGGTATAGCTAGGTTGCTTTCCAATTAATTTGTAGAGATAAAAGAATAATGTTGTTCATTTAATTTTGAGATGACCACATAGCTATTATGTATGCATTGCAGATATTTTTGATTGCTTATCAGATAGATTGTTCAATAGTATATTGGTTATATTGTATAATATATAAAGTATTATAAATGTTGTTGTATTATATATTTAAAAAATTTGTTAAGTTGTGATTTGATATAAGCTTATCTATTTCATTATTGAATATGTTGTCTTCATAAGCCAGTACTTTGTGAAGTGTAATGTTGTATCTGTATGATTTAATTAAGTTGATAATTGTGTACTATATTGGCCAATAGTTATAAGAATATTGTTTATATTATAGTATTATGTTATTAATAATTTTGTTAAATTTTGAAATTATAAATTGTGAGTCAGTATAGATTTGGATATTACTGTTTTGAGGCCATGTGCATATAGCTGATAGAATAGCTACTAGCTTAGCTTTGTATGATAATAGCCAGAATTTAATTTGAGAAAAATAAGTTTTGATAATAGTATTGTTATATATTTATATTCATCCAATATTTATTGAACATCTATCAGTAGTAATATTAGTAACAGATCCATTAATATAAAAAGTAAAGTTGGTATGTTGGGTATTTTGATTTGCAATTTGTTGTAATTTGATAGAAGATGAATTAGTATAAAAAATAAAAAAGATTGGATCTTGTAATAAGGTAATAAATAGGAGTGTAGGAATTCTAATAGGATTATGTAATGCAATAAAATATACAAGATCTGTATAATTTGCATTAAACTTAAGTTTGTTTGTAGGATTTTGTTGTTTTCTTTCTAAAAATTTTGTAGAAAGAGTAGTAGAAATGTCAAATGTACAGTGGTTTAGTATTCTGTTAAAGTTATGTAAGCATACTGTGCATGGTATACAATTGACTGATAAAAGTAGATAGAGGTTAGTGTTGGGTGTATTTGCTTCAATTGTCTAGTATATAATAAATATAGTATTGTTGTTTTGGTTATATTTGTATGTCTTTCCTATTATTAATTGTTCACTATTGTAATTAACAGTAATAAGTCAAGATTTTGATTTTGAATTTAATATTTAGTTGGAAAAAATAAGAAGTTAGTTTGTGAGAGATTTAGATTAAAATTAAGTTTTTTGGTAAAAGAATGTATAATGGTTTTGTCTTTTAGTACTGTAAACCATTTTGGTTTATATTCTGTTAAAATTTGTTCAAGTCTTGATAAAATATGTTTCTAATCTAAAAGTATAGAGTTATCAGATGAGATTAATTGTTTAAGGTAAAGAATATGTTTAGTTTGTAGTTGTTTTTTAAAGTTGTTATAGTCTTTATGTGTTTTAAGAATGTTTTCAATTGGTGTATATGAGTATTATAATATATGAGATAGTATTGTATGTGCAGAAATAGTAAATTGTAAATGTCATATTAACAGTATTATTTGATATGTTGTTGTATTTTTATTTGGACTATTTATTAGTAGATGTGAATGTTGTAAGATATTAGTGATAGACTACAGGTTATTTTGTAATTGTTGTAATTAGATATATGTGCTAGTTTCAAGTAAATCTGTTGTGTTTAGCCGAATTAGGAAGTTGGTAATGTGATGTTGTAACTGGATATCCTATATGTTTTTGATATTATATATATTATGGTTCAGCATAGTGCTAGTTGGAGTAGTTAGTACAAGTTTGGATTTGTGTTTGGCAATAGTAAGATATCTGAATAAAATTTTGTTACATATGTATTAAAGGAGTACTATATTATATATACAATATTTGATAATAGGAATGATGACATTATTGATTATATAGGAAACTTGTTTGTCTGTTATTTGTTTGGTTTAAACTATATTTGTTAAACCAAATGTTTCTTGTAAAATAAGTTTGATTGTGATGGCTTGTTTGTTAGTTGCAGTATACTAGCAGCCAAAGAATTTTAGAGATGTGTTGAGTAGTTGAATTGTAATAGTTGAGTTTAGAAAAGTAAAAGTAAGTATATGTTTTGTATTAAATATTAGACTAGATTTTTGAAGATTTACTTTAATGTTTGTCATTTAATAAAATGTAGATGCCACATTAATAATATTTTGTAGTTGCTATTGAGATTTTGCTAACTATAATGCATTATCTATATATGCTAATATAGAGGTATTTGAATAGATTGTTTGGTACTTTGCAAAAAATAAGAAAATTGGATATGTAACTATTAATGTGTATCTTTTGAATTTTTTGTGTATGTAGTTAATAAGAGAGTCATAGTAGATTCACTATAGCAAAGGAGTTATGGTTTCTCCTTGATCAATGTCATCTTCTATTGAGTATGATAGTATTAATTCAAAGTTTGTAATTACTTGATTGGAGCATAATTTGAGTAAATTAGTTATTGTGCAGATTATAGATTATAGAAGTTTAATGCATTGTAGTGATTTTTCTAAAAAATTGATGTTAACTAAATTATATGCTTTGCTTACATCCTGTGAAAGTAGCCATATTGGTTTTTTATTTCTATTAGCATCTTCAATAAAGTTGTTTAGAATATGTAGAGGTGTATTAGTGCTATTACCAGGTAGTGCAACATAATTGTAAGAACTAAGAATTGGATGTGATGATAGGATAGTAGAGAGTTGATTGGTTAGGATTTTTGTATATAATTTTTTGGTATGTTTAATTAAACTGATGGATCAGGTATTGTTAAGGTTGTCATCAAAGTTGAACTTTTTTGAAATAAAATATATTCTGCTATTTTTTTACTGTTTAGATATTATGTTAGTGTTAAGGTATTTGTTAAATAGTTGGGTAATAGCCTGTAACATTGGTAAACCACAGTGTTTAAGTATTTCATAACTTATATCTAGTGGTCCACAGGCTTTGTTGTTTAAGAATTGTTGCATTGTTTACATTATTTCTTCTGTAGAAATAGGCTTGAGTAGGAGGGCATACCAGTTGCAATTGATGGACTGTTTAGGTTGGTATTCTTCTCTTTAATGTTGATTAAATATTATAGTATTAATAGATTAGTGTTAGGTCTAGTGTTGAAAGTATTGTTGAACATGTTAGAGTATTTTAGTAGGATCAGTTATAACACTATTATTAGTTTTAATATTGTAAAAATGTACTGGATCTGTATGTCTATTAAGAATGCTATTTATCATTTTGGTAGGTTGTATTATTAGTTATTCACATCTGTTATTAATAGCTGTATTGATATGCTATTTAAGATTTTAAGTATTTTCAATATTACATGCATGAAAAAGAGTTTTTCATGCTTGCTTAGCATTATTAATCTATTGTAGTAATAGTAAAGGGTTTTTAGATAGGTTTGGAATATTGAAGTTGTGTTTGTAATTAATAGTATCAATATCAATTATAGTTTATATAGAAATAGTAAGGTTTTGTTTAGATGAGTTTTTAACTCTATAGATAATGTTTCTAATAAGTTTAAAGTCTTTGTATAAAGCTATTGCTTTAGAGCTGAA